TAAGGGTTTTGTTCCTCCCTGTGGACTGTATCGCGTTTGTGTTGGTACGTAGATAGATACGCGCACTTGTAACTCGACGAATACAGGATATTTCATAAAATAATTTTAAGAAAAAAAATACGCCGACTTCGAAATGCACTAAAAAGTATAAAATAATTTCTATTTCGTAATGAAGTAATTTCTATTTCATTCAATCATACAATTACGTCACATTTATGAATGAAACCTATTTACTCGTTAGGTAGTATATTAAATACATTTCAACCTTTTCGGAGGCGGCGCAAAATTGTCCCCTCTCGAAGCACGTCGTTCGTAGCGAGCACCCGCTCAGTCCACCACAGCCGTCAGTCATGTACCGCCTGTAGGCGGCTAAGCTTGAAGGCCGTCAAACTTACAAATGTAATTTATTAACATTAATATCAATCGGGAAAATCGGCAGATATACAGTGTCCCGCAATTACTGTAAGAACCGAAACGGGGTGGTAGGTGGAACAACTTTTTCCTTTGTCAAAATATGGTTGAGGCTCCATTTTCGAGTTATTAGCAAAAAACACTGACGAATGAGAGCGCGCATAGACTGGGCGCGCGAAAACGTGAAGAAAGCGTGAGCAAAAGCTTCGAGTGTGACGGCCGATCGTCGTCGTGAACAAATGTATCGATACATACCGCGTCGGTATAACGTCGGTATAACGTCGGTATAACGTCGGTATAATAGAAAGCTGTTAGATGAAAATTAGATCGAATAATCAATAAAAAATCTGGATTATTCTTGAATTATCATTCATTCATGAATAAGAAATAACGAAATCAGTCCCTACTCACGTAATCAGAATAAATCGAATTTATTCGATACGTTTATTCGTTATGGCAAAGAAATAATGGATAAAATATGGAAAATTATTCTCGTTACATATTGTAATGATGAAAAACACAAATTCCCATTTTTAAAAAATTAAATAACTTTTTCATTCAACAAATAAAAATTCAAAACGAATAATTAACAAATTTAAATATAACTTATCCATTGAACCGCAAATAGTCACGATGAAAATGCATCTCTATCGCCGGGTCGATTCACCGATCCTTATTATCAGAATAAATAATTCACCACACAGAAACTCTCAGTTTACTTCAATGTCACCTATCACTGTCATTTTTCATTATTAGTTTTCATTATTCATTACACTTTTCACTAATTAGTCACTGCAAGTCCGACACATAAATACACCGAATGAAAAACACGAAAATTCATAAATAATTTTAACTATACTGTCTTGAAAACATGAAAACGAAATTTTCAATTAAAAATTGCGATATTTTATTTCGAATAGTTTCTTTCGACAACAAACGGTGACTGTCTCGATCGACGCCGTAGTCGTTCAACAGATCATCGTTGCATAAAAACCGTTTGCGACGTACGCCTCGCGATCGAGAACGAAGCCGCGATCCCTGGCCAGTCTAACAAGCAGAATCTTTATTATCAATATTCCTGTTCCGAGTTGCTCGGAATATTATTAACGTAATATTTATGGGTATTTTGTCAAGCCCAAAAACGTTTCACCTTTGCAATTTTAAACTGATATTTAAGACCATATGGACGTCTCCACAGCTTGACGTTCTTAACAATTAACAATAGCTTTCTAACAAGCCAGAAAAGCACATCTTTCTAAATACCAATA